TCTTCTATCTCTTTCTAACCTTCAACATATTTTTCCACTTTTCTCCTTCCCTTCATCCCACAAACACATCCAGACATCTTCTACTATAAATAAAAACTCTCTATCCTAACTTGCCCTTAAGTTATTATGACCACCAAACTAGAAAAAAAGAAGCAGTTTGTGTTCACTGCCTCCAGTTCCTCACATCCCACTCCTTAATCCATTACAATCTGGCTTCCAACACCACCATTTGACTAAATTGGCTCTCTCCAAGGCTGTAATCATTCACTTAACACCTAAGTTCACTGGCCTTCTCTCAGTATTCACCCTTATTGAGTTTTCTGCTGCATTTGACATTGTTAACCACTGTTATCTTCTAGATCCTCTCCATCCCTGATTACTCATGGCACACTCTCTCCAGGCTCTTCTTTTACACATCTGATTCTCTGCTCCACCCCCTTCTCAGGCTTTTTTTCTGGATCATCATTTATCTCCCACCTGCTATAATACTCACTATAACCCAGACCTTCTTCTCTTCTCTTTATACTAGCAGTTTTCAAATTTTTATTTTTTTATTGCTCAGACAGCATTATTTTTTTTTTGCCATAAAGAATCACAATGCACAGAATGTTTTAAATTGGCAATCCCACAAGAAAGCTGGGAGACTCACATATATGCATGTAATTGTTACCGTAATATTTTATTCAGTTCACAGAACACCTAGATAATCATAGTCCTTGACTGTACTGGGACACTTTTTGAGAACCATTGTTTGTTTCTCTCTCTCTCTGTCTCTGTCTCTGTCTCTGTCTCTGTCTCTCTCTGTCTCTCTCTCTCTGTCTCTCTCTCTCTCTGTCTCTCTCTCTCTCTCTCTCTCTCTCTCTTTCTCTCTCTCTTCTCTGTCTCTCCCATCTCTTTATTTTCTCCTTTATCTTTGTCTTTCTGTTTTTGTCTTTCCTTGTTTCTGTACCTTTTCTCTCTTGTTTTGTCTCTGTTCCTCTGTCTGGGTCTCTATCTCCTTCTCCTTGTCTTTCTCTTTGTCTCTCTCTGCTATCTCTTGGTCTTTGTGTCTGTCTGTCTGTCTGTGTGTCTCTGTCTGTCTGTATCTCTCTGTGTGTCTTTCTCTGTCTCTGCATCGCTCTCTATCTCAGTCTCTTTCTCAATAAACATTCACTAGCACATCCCTGGTTCCACATGACTGAAATAAAAGCAAAGAGGTAGAAGGCATAAAGAAGACTCAATTCAAAGGGAAAAATCCTAACAATTAGGGCTACTCAAAAGTAGATGATGATGATGATGATGATGATGATGATGATGATGATGATGATGATGATGATATGGTAGTGGTAGTGGTGATGGTAGCAGTGATAATGGTTATGTCTACTTCAGAGGTTGCAAGTTACTCTTTGCTGGATTTCTTCAAGCTTTTGGCATTTTTTTTTTAATAAACAGAGGATGGAAATAATGTATGGTTACAAAGTTTAAAAAAATCAAGATTTCCCTGTTTTGATGACCCTGATTTGCTAATCTAACCAGCAGATGGCTCTGGAGATATTGCCATTCTTTCGGAGAGCATGGGAGTGTGGGTGGAGTAGGAAGGGTGCATTGCTTGAGTCTCCCCACTCTAAAAGTATTTTAAATCAATGACTGCTGAGTTTGAGTTGATAATGATTAGGAAATCTGAAGTATGACACTTCAGGAACAGATGGTAGATGTAGTCCATCTTACTCCCCCAACTTCCTAAAGAGCCTTTGGACCAATCATGTGGTATGCTATAGCCATCTGGAAACACTGCCCATTGTGCTTAATACATGCCCTGTTCCTGAGAAGTGTCTTGTGAAAAAAATAAAAAGGTTGAAGATATTTATGGGTACTCAATTGGAAATAACACATGGAGATTAAGAAGGAAATGACAACCAGGAAGTGAGCAGAAGATCAGAAGGTCTTTGGGGGCGTGGGATGGATAAGCAGACCCATCACCAATACAAATTGTTCTACATTATGAGAATTAGTGGATCAACTTCTGACTTCCTTCAAGATGCAACTCAAATGCTACCTCCTGTAGGAAGCCTTTCCATGCCACACCAGCTACTAGGATCTTCTCTAAGGTTATCTTCTGTCTATCCTCTATGAATCTTTTATGTGCTTATTTATTTACATGCTGTTTCCCCTATTAGCAAATATCTTGAGGGAAATTTTGGCTTTCTTTTGAATCTCCAGTGCTTATGAGAGTTACAGATATGATCACTATCACCACCATCACCACGCTATCATATCATCATTATCATCATCTATATTATCATGGCCAGTATTTATATAGCACTTTGAGAATGACAAAGTACTATACATGTTATCTTATTTGATTTTTCACAATAACCCTATAGTGTAGCTGCTGTTATTACCCTCATTTTACAAATGAGGAAACTGAGACTGAGAAAGGTTAAGTGACTTGCCCTGGGTCACACAACTGATATGTATATGTCAGGATTTGAACTTAAGTCTTCCTGATTCCACATCCAGCACTCTATCCACTATGCCACCTAGCTGTCTCACTCATAGAAAATGTTAAATAACTATTGATTGATTGATTGATCTCACAATTGTCCTCCTTTAATTCCTGAGGGATAGTTGGATTTTTTTCCCCAAATCTGAAGTGAGTTTTATAGATGTCTTTTTTTACAGGTTTAATTTTCAAAGCAAAATTCTGTGTTCCTGAAGCTTGAATGTTTGGACTCACAGAAACAGGGCACTATTCAAAATGTTGGGAGCATAAGTAAATATGCCATCTGCCAAGACCATCAAAAAATGGATGTTGTCATTCTATGTTAGGACAGTTGGGTGGTGCAGTGGATAGTGTTCTGAGGCTCAAATGTAACCTCAGACACTTACTAGTTGTGTGACCCTGGGCAAGTCACTTAACCCTGTTTGCTTCAGTTTCCTCATCTGTAAAATGAGCTGGAGAAGGAAATGGCAAATCACTCCAGTATCTTTGCCAAGAAAACCTCAAATAGGGTCATGAAAAGTTGGGCATGACTGAAAAATGGCTAAACCAGAACAATCTATGTTGTTTCCAGAAAACTATTTGTACCTTTTATTGCTAGAGATGGGTTCCATTAGTCTATCCTCCTTACTTTGCTCTGTCATGAAGAGGCTTTAAATAAAGCCATGCAGAGAGTAACCTCTTTACTATGTACAGCAAGCAGAGGCATTCGGGGTCTCTAACACAACAAACAAACTACACAGGAAGAAGGCTCTGGATGTTTGGGATTTTTTTGTTTTTGTTTTTTGTTTGTTTGTGTTTGTTTTGGTAGGGGAGGAATTGACACAGGCATCTTATTTTCACCCAAGCCTACATTTATCTTCTGTCCAAAGTGCTGAACTTCAGTTACTGATCAAATGGCAGCATGAAATAGAATCACAGCCAGGGCAAGTCCAAAGTGTCATTAAAAGATGAATCAGTAAAGACCAAAGTAGATGGATGAACATAAGATGAAAAAGAGGCCTCACATACTAAACTGATGCCTTGACCCTAGCCAGTACTGACTTATCAAAGACAGTACTGAAAGAGGAAATGAAATGACAAAATCATTGAAAAAGAAGCCTTGGAGAAAGATTCAGAGACCTGGTCATGGCAGCCTGGGAGCAGATCTCAAACTAATAGTACAATGGGCATGTTTATTAAAAGGAGACAAGAAGAGGCAATCATACCCCTGTATCCAGCACTGTCAGGGAATAGAAGTGATCTTTTCTGGGTAATGAAAATGCAACCTTTGAAAAATAACCATTTTTGATGGAGTGTTTCCCTCATATCTAATTATATGTCAAGTACTATGGACTCTACACCTCAACTCACTTTTTTCATCTGTCCAATTTTTTCTTGATGACTCAAGTTCATCATTCTGAACATCATAATTCATTGTTATATATGATCTTAAATTTTATAGCACTCATTCCCTAATAATAACACTGTGAGGCAAAGTGTATATTATTACAGCCATTTTACACATTGGAAACTTGAGGCTTGACCATGTTACCAACTAGTGTTAGAGCCTACACCAGAACCCAGGCTTTCTGCCTTCATGCCCAATTATTTTTTTCCCACATCTGTAGCACACTGTCAACGTGGCATTGCTCTTGGATTTGTGTGTGTTTATGTGTGTGTGTGTGTGTGTGTGTGTGTGTGTGTGTGTGTGTGTAGACCTGTTTGCTCCAGACTGCTAGGCTTTTTGAGTTTTTATGTCTACTTTAAAAATAATTTATCTGTCTTTATTCTTATTGTCAAGCTAGCATCTGTCACTTGTTGTTATTGGCAGTATACCTATGTTAAGCTCCTTCTGTGTAAGGATTTTTTCACTTTTGTCTTTGAAATCAGTACCTAGTACACTGTCTGGTACACGTGGTACACTGTCTGTTTTATAAATGCTTGTTGATTGGTTGTTTTAACTCCCTCCCCCCTACTGCCTTCTCATTGACTGCTATTAGCCTGTGCACTTTCTATTGATCTCTTGACTCAGAAAAAATAGACACACACATGAGATATGAAAGGATGATGACATCAGATATTATTACGTTCCATGTGATCAAGCATTATTACTATTGTTATTATAGCATTTAACATCCCTCTACCCTTCCACACCACAAAGTTACTTCTTCTTTAAAGATGGAATGTCTTTTTTTTTTTCTAATATATCCGTGGTGGTTAAATTCCCAATAGGATTTATTCGACACATGGAATCTTTTTTTAAGAGAAAACCATGACCAACTTCTTTATCAGTTTGAGAAATCACCAGTTGTCTAGATTTTCAACCTCTGAGGATGAGCTTTTAGATGATGCTGGGGGGGGGGGCATGTGGTACATGTCAGATTAACCAACATAGCCCTCCATGGGAGCCTGATGTGATCAACCTCCCCATCCCACTAAGGAACGGATAAACATCAGGACCCCCAGTGCAGTCAGTATGCCCATTTTCTTGGCCACTTTTCAGGAGGGAGGGAGGGAGAGAAGTATCAAGCATCCTTACCCGGTTTTCAAGCTGACCAGAGCATCCTCGACTCCTTTCTGGTTGAATTTGGTCATATACTGATGCATATAAGGGTAATTATTCCTGATGTTCCTTTCTGTGCTCCCATTAGGAACTGTGCCAAACCGAAAAGGGGGGGAGTAATCATGAGGTTTCTGAAACTAAAGGAAGAGAAGACAAAGTTGGATTACATCTTATGAAGTATGAACACACACAAATGCATTAATCAGCACAAGTATAAGAACCATTACCTATATTCTCTGGGCTGCTTTGAATTTAGCCAAGGCCTGTGTACCCCTTATAAGCCCAGCTCATTTGTCATAATATTTCTCTTTGGTATGCACCTTAATAACTAGTACTAGATTATATATTCTGTTCTACTCTATGTACTAATTTTGCCCTTCTCATCTAGAACAGAGTGCCCTAATGGAGAGGGGTGGCATAATGGATAGAACTCTATGCCTGAAGTCAGAAATATTCAAATTCAAATCCAGCTTCAGATATTTACTAGCTGAGTAAATCACTATATTTCTGTTGGCCTCAGTTTCCTCAACTGTAAAATTGGGATAATAATAGCACTTACTTCTCAGGATTGTTGTGACAATCAAATGATATATTTGTAAAGTACTTAGCACAATTCCAGGCACATAATAGGCACTTAGCAAATGCTTATTTCCATTTCCTTCCTTCCTCCTTGCTTCCTTCCTTGTTAGTTGTTAGAGGTTTTCTTCCAGGATATTTTTAAAATAATGTTATTTTTTCTCAATTATATGTAAAAACAATTTTTAACATTCCTCTTTTTTTAAGTTTTGAGTTCCAAATTTTGTCCCTCCATCTTCTCCCCCTTCGCTGAGAGTGTAAGCAATTTGATATAGATTATACATGTTCAATCATGCAAAACATATTTCCATGTAGTCATGTCATGAAAGAAAACACAGACAAAAAAACACATGAAAAAAATAAAGAAAGTGAAAAACAGTATGCTCAATCTACCTTCAGACTCTATCAGTTCTTTCTCTGTAGGTGGATAGCATTTTTCATCATGAGTCCTTTAGAATTGTCTTTGGATCATTGTATTGCTGCAAATAGCTAAGCCATTCACAGTTGATCATAGTACATCATTGCTGTTACTGTGGACGATGCTCTTCGGTTCTGCTCACTTCACCTTTTATCAGTTTTGTAAGTCTTTTCAGAGTCTTCTGAAATCATTTTGCTTATCATTTCTTATCACAAAATAGTATTTCATTACAATCATATATCACCACTTGTTCAGCCATTCCCCTATTGATGGACATCTCAATTTCCAATTCTTTGCCACAAGAAAAGAGTTGCTATAAATACTTTTCTATAAATGGGTTCTTTCTCTCTCCCCCCTTCTTCTTCTTCTTCTTCTTCTTCTTCTTCTTCTTCTTCTTCTTCTTCTTCTTCTTCTTCTTCTTCTTCTTCTTCTACTTCTCCTCCTCCTCCTCCTCCTCCCCCTCTTCTCTCTCCTCTCTCTCTCTCTCTCTCTCTCTCTCTCTCTCTCTCTCTCTCTCTCTCTCTCTCTCTCTCTCTCTCTCTCTCTCTCACAGACCTACAGACCTAGAAGTGCTATTGTTGGGTCAAAGGGTATGCACGGATTTATAATCCTTTGGGCACAGATCCAAATTGCTCTCCAGAATGGCTGGATTAGTTTATAACTCCACCAACAGTACATTAGTGTTTCAATTTTCCCACATCTTCTCCAATACTTATCATTTTCCTTTTCTGTCATATTATCCAATCTGATAGGTATGAGGTGGCACCTCAGAGTTGTTTTAATGTGCATTTTTCTCTAATGAGTAATGATTTGGAGCATTTTTATATGACTATAGATGGCTTTGATTTTTTCATCTGAAAACAGCCTATTCATATATTTTCCACATTTATCAATTGGGAAATGACTTGTGTTCTTCCTCTTTCTTTCTTTCTTACTTTCTTTCTTTCTTTCTTTCTTCCTTTCTTTCTTTCCTTCTTTCTCTTTCTTTCTTTCTCTTTCTTTCTTTTTCTTCCTTCCTTTCCTTCTTTCTTTCTTTCCTCCTTCCTTCCTTCCTTCTTTTCTTTTTCCTTTCCTTTATTTTTTCCATCCTTCATTCCTTCCTTTTAATGCCACATGATGGCTAACATTGGGCTGCATATGTATTGGGTACCCAATAAATGACATCTGGTATTATGGCATTTATAGGGTATCCCAAAAGCCACTGTAGTTTCAGCCTTTAGCTCAAAATTGTACTAAGGCCTACGAATCTCACATAAATATGATGAGGAATTATGTTGTTACTACTACTATAGTATTTTAACTACACCTACCACTTCATGCCTCTAGTCTCAGCTCAGTCACTAACTATTGGACAAGTTGATTAATCATACTGAGCCTCAATTTCTTCACCTGTACAATGGGATATAAACAACATTCTTTTGTGAAGATAAAATAAACTAGACACAAAAGTGCTTCATAAAAACCTAAAAGCACTATGTTAACATCAAGGCATTGCTATCGTAGTATTTAAAACCTCCACTTCCTAAATCAGTTAATTGCTTTAAAAAAATATGAGGAATATATTTTAGAATGTCTCCCAAGAACTTAGTAAACCTGGGACTATATTCTCAAAGCAAAACAAAACAAAACAAAAAAGTCAACATATCTAAAGACAAGTTCTATTTTTTGTTTTCATGGAACTCTGCTCCCATAGTAGAGAATGTTTTGATCACATATGCACTGATGCTATGTTAAAGGGTCAGCTATCTCCTTTGCTTAACAAATATTTAGCCATTCAAAAATTGTGACAAAGTAGGAGCAATTATAAAATGATGATTTTGGTATAAAAATAATAGTTTAGAACTGCCTTAAAAAAAAGTTCACAGCCACCCAACAGAATCATCAATTTCTGCTACTTTCTAGTTACATAACATTTTGGGGGCCAACTTATAGAGCTTAGATCAACTACCTACTTCATCAGACTTGGCTCCAAATGTCTTTGGGTTATTTCCAAAAAGCAAATTTACCCTAACAAGATGAAGATTTGTCACCACTGAGCATAATCCAAAAAATTATCATAGACTGAAGACAATGTACAAATTATGAACACATTTTGGGCATCCTTGAATAAGCGGACAATTTCTTAAAGTAACTACTTTGAAGGGTAGCACAGTCACTTGGATAGGAAATTTCTGATACGTACGTACATACATTTATGTATACATCCATTTATGTATGTTTGCATATACATATATATATATGAGTATATAAAGCAATTGATTTCATCAGATACCCCAAAGCAATAAATAACATTTTATGAATATTTTTTTTACCTCAACTTACCAAGTTCATGATAACCATAGATAAAACCATCATGAAAACAGTGGCAGATTATACATCAATATTGATTGTGGAGAATGAGTAAGTAGGGACATTCTATGAAAAATTTGACAAGCTTCTCCAAATCTAGTCAAAATATAATTTGAAACTTGTATGCATATTGGCACAGGGTAGAAGATATATACATCACCCATAATTTGTAATGTATTACACATATGTCTATGCATATATATGTGTGTGTGTGTGTGTGTATGTACATATGTGTGTGTGTGTATATATATATATACACATATATATGTATACACATATGTAATTTTACAATAGGAAATGAAAGAGCCCAAAGGCTTATAAATCATCCAAAATCCTTGAACATATATGTATACCATAAATTTTTAAAGAAGATCTTTCAAAAGGCACTATACATAACTATGGTTATATACATGGGAGAAATATACTAAGGCTTTGCTTCATACAAGTTAGGTCTTTTTTTTTCCTTCAAGGCAATGGGGTGAAGTGACTTGCCCAGGGTCACATAGCTAGTAAGTGTCAAGTGTCTGAGGCCAGATTTGAATTCAGGTCTTCCTGAATCCAGAGCCAGTGCTCTACCCACTGTGCCATCTAGCTGCCCTTAGTCTTTTTCTTAAAAGGAATTGGAACTGTCCTGAAGATCTAACTGGATGAGAAGACTCAAGCTAAAGCTGTTGATATGGTTTCCCAGTTGCTTCAGTACGAAAAGTCAAAAAGAGTTCCAGCTGGACTCTGATACTTGATCAGCAGATCACCACGGCAGTTCAGAGGCAAGAAAGCTGAACACCTTTATTGAATATCCTTCCTCTGCACGGCTAAATAAATGTTTTGTTAACTGCTGAATCTTCTATGGCTCATTTCATTCTAATCTTGATCTTAAACTACCTGGGGATTGTCCTTAGACACGTCATTACTAAAACAACAGTGAAAAAAATTTAAAAAAAAAAAAAGAAAGAAAGAAGAAAGAAAAAAAATTGAGAATATCTGACGAAAAATGACTAGTTACCAACGTGGGGGCCATTTCAGAATCAGTTGTCCGTATGTAGTCAGCTCATTGTTCAGTTAAAACAGAGTCATAAATTAGGAGAAAATATCAAGATGAGAAAATCCTAACTTAAAACATTCCAGGCTGACCTAATTACACAATGGAGCTTAAAAAAGAGAAATAGATAAAATTAAAGATATATGGATTATGATAACTCTCATATGTTTGGCTAATAGAAAATAAGTGTAACAGTGAAGAGGCCAAAGCACTCAGAAACTGTCCCAGACAACATACACTTGATTTCTTCCTCAAGAAGACAGACTTGGTATCCAAAGGTGTAATGAATTTAGAATATTAGCTCATTTGTAAAACGTTTGGCATAATTGCACATTACAAGCAATATAATTTTACAAAGAAAGATAAGCAGGAGAGAGGGAAACAAGTCCACAGGAAGCTTGGAAGACTCAATTAAACTACAATGATACCAAGAACATTTTTAATATGAACTTGGAAAGGGAAAAAAACAAGTGTCGGATGAAACATCTGACAGTTCTGTAGTAATCTCGTCTCATCATTGACAACTAAGGAACAAACACATTTTGACTGTGATAATTCTGTGGACAGGGTTCTATATGGCAATTACATTTAAGAAAATGCAGTCGAGAACAGCTGGACTTCACCAAATATACACACAGGAAATACAAGCTGGATGCAACGTAAAATCAAAGTACTAAGATGTAGATATTGAAAACTCCAAAAGAATGGAAAAGGTTATATGGCATTATTATTTAAAAAAAATCAGTAGCTGTATT